ATGGCCTAATTCCCATGAGTACGATGGTTTAACCCTGGAGATCGATGGTTTAACCCTAGAGTGCGATGGTTTAACCCTGGAGTACGATGGTTTAACCCTGGAGATCGATGGTTTAACCCTGGATCGATGGTTTAACCCTGAGTTCGATGGTTTACCCTGGAGATCGATGGTTTAACCCCGGAGTACGATGGTTTAACCCCGAGTACGAATGGTTTAACCCTGGAGTACGATGGTTTAACCTGAGTACGATGGTTTAACCTTGCGATGGTTTAACCCTGAGTACGATGGTTAACCCGGAGCATTGATGGTTTAACCCCGGGAGATCGATGGTTTAACCCTGGAGATCGTAACTCGAGTACGGATACGATGGTTTACTGGAGTACGATGACGGAGTACGATGATTTAACCGACGAACCCCTGCAGTACATGACTTAACCCCATGGACAGTGTCGGGTATTCGATGGGTTAAGTCATCATACTCCAGGGGTTAAGTCATCATACTCCAGGGATTAAGTCATCATACTCCAGGGATTAAGTCATCATACTACAGGGGTTAAATCATAGTACTCCAGGATTAAATCATCATACTCAAGGGGTTAAGTCATCGTACTCAAGGGATGTCATCGTAATCCAGGGTTAAATCATCGTACTCCAGGGGTTAAATCATCATACTCCAGGGGTGAAATCATCATACTCCAGGGTCTAATTATTTATACCACAGGGGTTAAATCGTCATACTTCAGGGGTTAAATCAACATTCACCAGGGATTAAATCATCATACTCCAAGGGGTGTCAAAGCATACTCCAGGTGTTCCTCTCTCACTGTGTTTACGATAGTTCTTAACCATAGGGTAGATATACACAACATCTTTACTTGCTTCCCAGCGGTCAAAACACTCCTTGATGAATGAGTGTTTTTCTGTCCACGAGTCAGTTCAGTGCCCACGTTTCCTGACCCGGCTCATAGACGTTATTTTTTCACCACGCTTGAGGAATAGTTTTTTTATTTAAGGGAAGTTGAAGAAAGACAAGGAACAGTTTCTTATCGTTCTGGTTGTCTGGTGTCTAGTGGGAGGCGGCAGGAAAAAAGATGATTTATCTCTCGAATATTTTTTTATTAGTTTTTATTCAGGAATCCAAAATCGGACAGAAAAAATTCTAAGATAACTCCAAAATCCTTCTCTGTCATATAAGGATTTCACGATTAATTTAACCCCATTTCACTGTTGCTGATGTTCGACTTTTTTATTTTTCCCCTTTAACGTTGACAACTCTTGGTTCATCATTTCATTTGATTTACTGTTTTTTTTTTCGTTTTTGTAGTTTCCTCTTCTTTTTATATCCTTATAGCTGTTTTTATCCAGCTAGAATTATGGCCTCTTTAATGACCCACCTACCTCGTCCCTCTTTCACCTGTTATTGGTGGTACCTGTAATTATCATCATTACTCTTATGTACCTGTGAGTTAGTGTAATTATTGTCGTTATTACTCATATTGTTTACCTGTGTTTTATGAATTGTCGTTATTACTCATATTGTTTACCTGTGTTTTAGTGTAATTATTGTCGTTATTACTCATATTGTTTACCTGTGTTTTAGTGTATATTTGTTTTATCTATTGTTCTGTGTTTTAGTGTAATTATTGTCGTTATTACTCATATTGTTTACCTGTGTTTTAGTGTAATTATCATCATACGTGGTTATTATTCTTACCTGTAGCTTTTGTTATTATTACCTGTGTTTATTGCTGTTGTTGTTATTTGTACTCATTATCATTAGTCACAGTTGTGGTGGTGGTCTCCCGAGGTTTAGTTTTAATTCACTACCTTAAACCCTTTTACCTTTTGACTTGACCATTTGCAGTCGAATCTAAGTTGCAGTTGAACCCCTCGCAGTTTCAACCCTCACTGTGGACCTCCCTCACTGTGACCTCGACCTCCCTCATTGTCGACCAGCCGACCCTCCCCATTGTCACGACCTCACTGTCGAACCTCATAGTTGTACCCCGCAGAGTCGAGTACCTTCGATTAGAACACATCTGAGCTGAATCCCCCTTCCTCCCTCACTGTCGAACCACACTCACTCGAACCCCTGAACACGACAAGTCACCCTCACCCTTTATGCTACAACTCCTCCACTACTGTTATTTCTTCCAGTACATGTTGGGTCCCCCTCCACCGTCGTCCTCCAGTAGAAGTAACGTCCTTCATCATCTTTCCCCCCCTTCACTACCAATCATTTATAATATATTTCTCTCTCTCTCTCCAAGTCTCCCTTCGTCTCTGAATATATCTCGATTCTTTTTCCGTCTTTGTCTTAATGTTACTGACCTCTCTCGTTCCTTCATTTTCTTCATTTCATTCAACGTAATTTATATTATTCCCATTTTCCTTATTTCAAATAGTCAGTAACCTTGGTCATTGAAAACATCAGTGTGAGAGAGGCGGGAGGGGTGATGGAAGGGGCGCAACAGGCGAGGGGTCGGTGTTGAGAGGGGTGGGGACAATGGGCAGGGGTGTTGATGAGAGGGGTGAGGAGCAATGGGCAGGGGTGTTGATGAGAGGGGTGGGGCACAGGGGTGTTGATGAGGAGGTGGAGAACAGGGCAGGGATGAAAGGGGAGAAGCAATGCAGGGCAGGGATGAGAGGAGGAGGACAATGCAGCAGGGGTGTTGATGAGAGGTGGGGAGCAATGGGGCAGGGGTGGATGAAAGGGGTGAGGAGCAATGGGGGCAGGGGTGTTGATGAGAGGGAGTGAGGACAATGCGGGGCAGGGGGATGAGAGGGACGGAGAACGGGGTGAGGTGTTGATGAGAGGGGGGAGGAGCAATGCGGGCAGGGGTGTTGATGAGAGGGGTGGGGGGCAATGCGGCAGGGGTGTTGATGAAAGGGGTGGAGCAATGCGGGGGGGGTGTGATGAGGAGGAGGAGAATGCGGGGCAGGGGTGTTGATGAGAGGACGGGACGGAACGGGGTGAGGGGTGTTGATGAGAGGGGTGAGGAGCAATGGGGTGCAGGGGTGTGGATGAGAGGGGGGTGGGGAGCAATGCGGGCAGGGGTGTTGATGAGAGGGATGAGGAGCAATGCGGGGCAGGGGTGTTGAGAGGTGAGGAGCGGGGCAGGGGGGATGAGAGGGACGGGACGGAACGGGGGAGGGGTGTTGATGAGAGGTGAGGAGCAATGCGGGCAGGGGTGTATGAGGGGTGGGAGCAATGGGGGCAGGGGTGATGAGAGGGTGGGGAGCAATGCGGGGCAGGGGGGATGAAAGGGTGAGGAGCAATGCGGGGGGTGTTGATGAGAGGGACGGGACGGAACGGGGCGAGGGGTGTTGATGAGAGGGGGAGGAGCAATGCGGGGCAGGGGTGTTGATGAGAGGGGTGGAAGGTAGGGGTGTTGATGAGAGGGATTTAGGAGCAATGCGGGGCAGGGGTGTTGAGAGGGGGTGAGGACAATGCGGGGCAGGGGTGTTGATGAGAGGACGGAACGGGCGAGGTGTTGATGAGAGGGAGGGAGCAGTAGGGTGGTGATGAGACGGGGAGGGGGGGCGGGTATGGTGTGTCGGCAGGATAAGCCTATTATTGACAGTGATATATTAATCAACGCGGGCGACTGGCATTCTCTTATAAAAATAACCACCAAACAAGGTCCCTGACGATCCTACCAAAGCGTGACTCTGTGAGAAACATCTCACCCCCACCCTCACCTGCCCCCACCCTGCCCCACCACCTCCGCCCCCCCCCTTCAACAAACTTTATATATTCGAAAAGAATTTCCCATCTAGGTGGGGTGATTACATTAACACTCATAAAAATCCCCTACTGCCTCCCTCCTCACCTCCCCTAACTGGAGAGAGAGAGAGAGAGGAGAGAGAGAGAGAGAGAGAGAGAGAGAGAGAGAGAGAGAGAGAGAGAGAGAGAGAGTCATACCTGGTGGGGTAAAATCTCTCCTCCAGGTAAGAATGAATGATGACCCTGTATTTGCTGCTGCCTGTTTGTGGTCGCTTGTAATTACAGTGATTATTGTTGGATGTTCTTTTTGTAAAGACACGCTGGGGGAGAAGAGGGCCAGGGGGAGAGTAGGGCTGGGGGGGGGAGAAAGTAGAGCCAGGGGAGAGGAGGACCGGGGTGGAGGGGAGCATTTAGGGAGTTAAAGTTTTAATGTATTACTTTAGGAGAGAAAACAATAACTGATGATTTATTTATATTCTCGAGTTTACGTAATCATGTGTGTTAAATTATCTTAACTTTCATAGAAGATATATTTATTTTCTCTATATAAAAAAAACCGGTTAATTTTTACTTCCCGTGTATGTGAACTGATCAGGTCACCGATACGATTTATTCTTAATTATTTTAATTTTTCATTTATTACAACATTTTCCTTCTCTTACAAGTCAGGACCAATATCGACTAAATAGAAGCCCGACCGAGAAACATTTATTACTCTCTATAGAAATGACTGATAAGGAGGGCAAACTACCACGGAAAAAATATATATGAAGTAAGGAGGGAGGGGGAGAGAAGGAAGGAACTACTTGTACTACCGTGAAACATAAAATAGTTCCCATTCGTGTCTCATCTCCTCGTTGACTGGACATTGAGTCGTCCAGGGGTAAAATCGAAAACTCTATCAAAATAAACACGGCCACAGGTCAGCTTTTGTCCCCACAGCGCCGCTCAGTTCTTGTGGTCGCGGACGATGTTATCACAGTGGGTGGGTTTGTTTACTTAGTGGTGGATGTGTTTGTACTGGGGGTAAGTTGTTCGTCTCTGTTAACCGCTGTGGCTGTACAGTGGAGGGACAGCTGCTGGATATCACTAATGTGCCGCTGCTGAAGTTCACTCCACCATAGGAAGGAGGAGGATTGAGAAGTAGGAGGAAGAAGAAAATTCAAACAATTGATAGTTGATGTCATGTAGGAATTGGGTGAGGCGAGTGTCTGTCCTTGTCTGTTGTGTTTATGGCTTCTTAAAACCCTATAAGAATTTCCTTCTGTTCGCATTATCTGGTAAGTAGTTCTTTTAACACCCATAGTTCCACCGGTGTGGCTTTTGAGATGCGAGCTGGCCGGGTGCTGATGCGGAGCTGCCTGGTGCTGATGGGGAGCGCCGGGTGCTGATGGGAGCTGGTCGGGTACTGATGGGAGCTGGCCGGTACTGATGGGGAGCTGGCCGGGTGCTGATGGGGAGCTGGTCGGTGCTGATGGGAGGCCGGGTACTGATAGGGAGCTGGTCGGGTGCTGATGGGGAGCTGGTCGGGTGCTGATGGGGAGGCTGGTGCATAGGGAGCTGTCGGTGCTGATGGGGAGCTGGTCGGGTGCTGATGGAGGGCCGGGTACTGATAGGGGAGCTGGTCGGGTGCTGATGGGGAGCTGGTCGGGTGCTGATGGGGGAGGGCTGGTACTGATGGGGAGCTGGTCGGTGCTGATGGGGAGTGGCCGGTGCTGATGGGGAGCTGGCCGGTGCTGATGGGGAGCTGGCTGGGTGCTGATGGGGAGCTGGCCGGTGCTGATGGGGAGCTGGTCGGTGCTGATGGGGAGGGGCTGGTGTACTGATGGGGAGCTGGCCGGGTGCTGATGGGGAGGGGCGGTACTGGGGAGCTGGTCGGGTGCTGATGGGAGCTGGTCGGTGCTGATGGGGAGGGGCTGGCACTGATGGGAGCTGGCCGGTGCTGATGGGAGCTGGTCGGGTGCTGATGGGGAGTGGGCCGGGTACTGATAGGGAGCTGGCCGGGTGTTGATGGGGAGCGGGCCGGGTACTGATGGGGAGTTGGTCGGGTACTGATGGGGAGCTGGTCGGGTACTGATGGGGAGCTGGTCGGGTACTGATGGGGAGCTGGCCGGGCACTGGTGGTTCCCCTAGTCTCGTGTCGGCTTTCATGGTACACAGGGTGGTGCAAAACTCTCTCTCCCGTGAATAATTGTAGTGAAAATAGTGCCTTTGGTAGAGCAACTTGTGCCACCCTGTATGTCTGCTGTGTTGTTTCTCGAGCACCTTCCTTGACTAAAATGTGTTTATTCATGGAGGTTATTTTCAATGACGTTATATATTGACTACTTGTTTTAAGAAAATTAGGAGTCTGCAATAGGCCGGTTGGCCTGTGCATGGCAGCTCCTGTCGAGTTACTACCACTCTCTATCATCCATGAATCTATCCAGCCTCCTTTTGAAACTTTCCAGCGTTCCAGCACTTACTACAAAGTTGCTAAGCTTGTTCCACTCGTCCACCACCCTATTTGTAAACCGGTTCCTTCCTATCTCCCTCCTAAACCTAAACTTATCCAACTTAAATCGTTGTTCCGAGTCCTATCCTGCTCGGATATTATAAGAACTTTATCTATATCACCTTTATTGATTCCTTTCACCCACTTAAATACTTCTATCATATCTCCCCGCACTCTTCGTCTTTCTAGGGAATGCAAGTTTAGTTTCTTTAACCTGTCCTGATATGGAAGGTTTCTAAGTCCCGGAATCATTTTCGTCATTCTTCGCTGCACCGACTCTAGTGAATTGATATCCATTCAATAATAAGGGCACCAGAACTGAACCGCATAATCGAGGTGCGGCCTGACTAGCGCAAGATATAGTTGCAATAAGACCTCTGCACTCTTATTACTTACACTTCTAGATATAAAACCCAATACTCTGTTTGCTTTATTTCGAACATTAACGCACTGTTTTCTAGGCCGTAGGTCCGCTTACAGAGTACCCCTAGGTCTCTTTCACAAGTCGACTTCTCTAGGTTGATGTTGTTAAGGCTGTATACATTGACAGTATTTGTTCTTCCAATATTAAGTACGCTGCACTTGCTGGTGTTGAATTTCATTTGCCATTTTTCAGACCACCCCTGCAGTTTATTTAGATCCTCCTGTAATGCATTTGCATCCTGCCCTGAATTAATCTGCCGCCCTATTTTGGTGTCATCCGCAAACTTGCTTATGTCACTGCTGATCCCAGTATCTAGATAGTTTATGTAGATTATGAACAAGAGTGGGCCTAGTACTGACCCCTGGGGAACCCCATTGGTTACACAGCCCCACTCAGATTTAACACCATCTACGCTGACCCTCTGCGTTCTATCGGTGAGCCATGATTTTATCCAATTTAAAACTTTCCCCTCGATACCATGAGCCTTAATTTTTCTCAGAAGCCTCTGATGCGGTACTCTGTCAAATGCTTTGCTAAAATCTAAGTAAATAACATCGTAATTTTCGTCATTATCTACTTCTATTAAACAATAGATTTTTTATCTAATACATGGATTTTATTTTTGTATTTCGTTTATAGAATGTATTAAAAATAAATTATTTTGTTCATTTTACTCAAAGAAAGTTTTGAGAAACTTTTTTTTTCTGCTCAGAGAAGATTTTTAGACATGAAACACCATTTTTGTCGTGAATTCCTCAGATGTTAATTTTGGTTCACTCCACTGAAGTACGCCCAATCTTGCCTTTTCTGACTTTACTAATGGATGTTCATATCGTGGCTCATGAGAGAGGTTTATATTCTTCAACGAAACCCATAACCAATTCTTGATCATCCATTTTACAACATCAATAAACACCTCAAAACATATTCTGTGCCTCCAATTTTGTTTTTACGTAACAAAAGCGAGGGCCATAGCCTTCCTCCCGTAGATTGTGGTGTTCCGGGAGTGCCTATTGCTTGTCCAGGCGTATCATCAAGTACAGTTCCTTCCCATCTCGTAAATTACGTAAGGTATAGAAAGGTGTCCGTCCCCTTGGTTAGCTTTCACTTGACCTTTTTAGAAACCATTGACGTCTACTCTTAAGTTTTTTTTTTCAGCTTCCTATCTTTCCACGAAATAGCTCTATCGCTCTTTTACACTCACAGGCCTTTTATAAACATATTTACTTCCTATTTACATACCATTTACTGATATATACACACACAGGTCTTATTTACATGTTCTCTTCAGACATAAAATATTCACTAAGACCCTTTTCAGAGTTGTCACTTCTTTAATGTGTTTTTACTTCAATATTTGTTTATGTTCTGTTCAGAAATCCCGTATTTTTTCCCTTTAATTCGACAACCTTTTCAGAAACAATTTGTCTTTACTAAAATACGCTTCTCTACACTCAGACGTATTTATACACATCTTTCCCAGCAACAATTTTTTTCTCTTTCCACTCACACGGCGTCTTGAGAAATAATTAGAATATCAGCCACCGTCCCACAAACAAAGGAAGATTAATGTTTTATTTCTTGTCTCTCGGAAAACATTCTTGAGAAAATCGTGTGTCCGAGAGGATGTTAGTGGCCTTAATGATGAACTGAGCGAGGTGTTGTGGTACTTTTTTAGGGGGAGGGTTCATTGTCTGTCCGTGTTTGCTTGTTTATTTTTTGTTCGCGTTGTGTCTGTTATAATATTTCTCTGTCTGTGTCCTTGTCTGTCATTGTTCTACTGTGTCCGTATCTCTGTCTGTCTATTCCAGTGTGCAAATTATGGCTTCTAAATACAGTATATCATTAATACCTTGACACCATAGATGAATTAATATACTGTGATTCATAAGACACCTATTTGGTTAACTTGTTGTGTCGGAATTATCAAAGGAAAGGGAGGGACACCAATTACCATGACCCCTGACACAACCATAGGCACTCGCTCTAAAAAAAAAAAAGTTCTTTATGGATGGAGCTGATGAACTTCAAAATGAACACTGCGACTCCTCTTGTCTCGGTTGGGTTGTTAAAATCTTTCGTCCGTTGCGTCATATTGTCTCACACAACATCGTAATGATATGTTTGGGAGGGAGTGTACACACGGCTTTCCTATGCTACATACATCTGTTTATGTCCACAGGCCATGGGAGGTGTCTTAATTATTGAAAGTTGTTAACTTTGTTACAGTTGTTTTCACTTATACCTTGTATAGTGGCTGGTGAATTTTTGTGAGATGTGGATCCTCTGTTTGTTTACATCATATTAACATAAGAACATAAGAAAATAAGGAGTCTGCAATAGGCCGGTTGGCCTGTGCATGGCAGCTCCTGTCGAGAGTTACTACCACTCTCTATCATCCATGAATCTATCTAGCCTCATTTTGAAACTTTCCAGAGTTCCCGCACTTACTACAAAGTTGCTAAGCTTGTTCCACTCGTCCACCACCCTATTTGTGAACCAGTTCTTCCTATCTCCCTCCTAAACCTAAACTTATCCAACTTGAATTCGTTGCTCCGAGTCCTATCCTGCTCGGATATTATAAGAACTTTATCTATATCCCCTTTATTGATTCCTTTCACCCACTTAAATACTTCTATCATATCTCCCCGCACTCTTCGTCTTTCTAGGGAATGCAAGTTAAGTTTCTTTTGCCTATCCTGATATGGAAGGTTTCTAAGTCCCGGAATCATTTTTGTCATTCTTCGCTGCACCGACTCTAGTGAATTTATATCCATTCTATAATAGGGGCACCAGAACTGAACCGCATAATCGAGGTGTGGCCTGACTCGCGCAAGATATAGTTGCAATAAGACCTGTGCACTCTTGTTACTTACACTTCTAGATATAAAACCCAATATTCTGTTTGCCTTATTTCGAACATTAACGCACTGTTTTCTAGGCCGTAGGTCCGGGGTTACAAGTACCCCTAGGTCTCTTTCACAAGTAGACTTCTTTAGGTTGATGTTGTTAAGGCTGTATACATTATAAGTATTTGTTCTTCCAATATTAAGTACGCTGCACTTGCTGGTGTTGAATTTCATTTGCCATTTTTCAGACCACCCCTGCAGTTTATTTAGATCCTCCTGTAATGCATTTGCATCCTGCCCTGAATTAATTTGCCGCCCTATTTTGGTGTCATCCACAAACTTGCTTATGTCACTGCTGATCCCAGTATCTAGATCGTTTATGTAGATTATGAACAAGAGTGGGCCTAGTACTGACCCCTGGGGAACCCCACTGGTTACACGGCCCCACTCAGATTTAACACCATCTACTCTGACCCTCTGCGTTCTATCGGTGAGCCATGATTTTATCCAATTTAAAACTTCCCCTCGATACCATGAGCCTTAATTTTTCTCAGAAGCCTCTGATGCGGTACTCTGTCAAATGCTTTGCTAAAGTCTAAGTAAATAACATCGTTATTTTCGTCATTATCTACTACCTCAAAGACTTTCCTAAAAAACGTTAGCAGATTTGTTTAGACAAGATTTTCCCTTTGTAAACCCATGTTGAGAGTCGTAGATTAATTTGCTCTTCTCTAGATGCGATCGGATGCTATCTGCTATAATTGATTCAAGAAATTTCCCCACTACTGACGTCAAACTGATCGGCCGGTAATTTGACGCTGATGCTCTGTCTCCCTTTTTGAATATGGGTACTACATTTGCCTGTTTCCATAAGTCTGGCACAACTCCAGTGTCTAATGATTTTGTAAATAAGTTTACGAGGGGTCCGCTAATCTGTTCCCTACACTCTTTCAAGACTCGAGGGAAAATTTCATCCGGCCCTGGGGATTTTGTTTTCTTTAGTTTATTTATCTTCTTAAGAACATCCTCTTCTCTGATAGTGATATTCTTTAATTTCTCTTCTTCCTTTCCCTTAAATATCAGTTCCACCTCTGGAATTTCATCACAAATTTCTTCTGTGAGAACTGATAAGAAGTAGCTGTTCAATGCTTTGCTTATTTCTCCACTGCCATTTATCACTTCTACCCTCCCTGACTTTAAAGGCCCAACTTTGTCCTTGACCTTTGTCCTATATACCTGGAAAAATCCCTTGGGATTCGCCTTGGATTCTCTTGCATTTTGATTTCATAGTCTCTCTTTGCTTTCCTCACATTTTTCTTAACATTCCTAGATAGTTCATTATACCTGTTTCTGAGCTGCTCCTCCCCTCCCTTTAATTTCTTATATATTCCTTTCTTTATTCCTATGTCATGTTTAAGTTTTCTGGTCATCCACCTTGGCTCATTCTTATTTGACCTAATTTTTCTGTATGGTATGTTTTGTTCTTGTGCTTTATGTAGTATACTAGTGAATATATTATAGTCATG